GGATTGAGATCTAGAATAAGGTTTTCAATTTTTGGTTTCTTTTTATTGAGTAGAGGTTTGTTATAAGAGCAAGAAAAGATATATGATAAATTCTCTGGAGCTGCATTGCACCTAGGGCAGATGTTGTCAGGATAATGATCTGGGTTTCACTTGTGAAGCTTGACTCTATTTGGAAGTTGGTTGGTCAATAGTTTGGACCTAAAGGTGAATAGAGCTCTGTATTTGAATCGATCAATATTTCTAAGTTTATTGTTAGCTTTAATGATGATTTTCAGATTCGCGAAGAATGAGGTTTTGTAAGTAGCTAACTTGCTAAGGAATATATCAAATAAGTTGATATAATAGTTTATAAATTAGATCCAATTTGTTATGCTAGTTGCATGTGTATTGTTAATTAATTGTGAGGTTGAAAATATTAAGGGGAAGCATTGGGGAATTGAGGTATTAATTATAGGAGAGGTGTCAAGAGATGGTTGTTGGTCTCTCAGTTTGTGCCACAGAATGGTAAAATTTTTCACTCTATAATAATATTATATTCATTAATAATCCTGCTAAAGGGGACTTTGATTTGTCTGTTAATATACTCTGGAATGTTTGTGTTGAGGATTATATTTAGATATATATTTATCATTAATAACTGTGAAATGTCAGTAAGAGTTTGATAGAGAACTGGTCAAAAAATGGCCCAAAAGTTGAGGTGTAGTATATATGTAAAAGTGAGATCAGGCTTTATTACTGATAAGTTATCACTGCTTAAGTCGTGATATAGATGTATAGTGGTTGGTTTCGTGGTTGTAAGATGTGATATGATTGTTATTTGGGGAATAGGTTGCATTGCACTTGAAAAAGAATTTAAAAGTTCTTGAATATTGTTGTGTAAATATTTTGAGTTTGCCCGTATAGTATGCCAGACAGATTTGAGATCATGAATATTTTTTTCCTTGACATAGAGTTGAACTGAGCATAAGCATATGATTATTTTCTTGTTGCTAAGTTGATAATAGATACCTTTAATAATTGTGAAGGGAAAAGCATTGATACGTACTTTGATGATATTGATATAGTTATTATCTTGGAAAGCCCAAAATTTAATTTTTGTTTTGTTGAGGAGGAATGTTGTATTGTCGCAAATAGTTACAAAGGTATCCAGGATAGCAATAAACCAATTGGGAATAGAGTCAGGTATTATTTGTCCTCTATGTATATATAATTCTTCCCAAGTTAGTTTAGTGTTTTTTTTTGTATATATATGTGTTCTGGATGGTTTTAATATTAGAGAAATATAGTGAAAGAGCGGTTGCTTTTGTAAGTTTGGTGTTTAAGCCAATTGAGTTCTCATGATTAGTATAATTAAAAAGGCAGGGGAGTGGACAGATTCTGATATTGTATCTCTTGGCTAGTAGGGCTGCTGATATTATCCATAAGTTAGTAAAGTAATAAGTGAAACAGATTGGACAGTACCAAATTGCTTGGGCAGCTTATATTGATATGATTTCTCTTAAAGTGATGGGAAAGATTTTTGGATTGGTGAGTTTGACTGTCAAAATTTTAATGGTGGTGAGATCACGACGGTTTTGAAGTTTGACAATGTTGAGACTTGCTGGTGAGTATAAAATTTTATTGGAAATAGTATGCTCGACACCTAATTTTGCTTTAATTGGTTTGTTCATTTTCCTTTGAAGGATGGCTATTTCATTATATGATGAGACTGCAACGTTAATGGCATATTCTAATTATGCTGGTATAATCCAATGAGAAGCTTGTCTAGTTATTAAAGCATTCCATTCTTTTTGTGATAAAATTGCATTGGTGAACTTTTGGATTTTTTCTAATAGCTTATTTTTTGTAAAACAAGATGAGGATTTGCTTGAGAGATAAACTCCAAGGTATCTGATGCCCTCCTTATATGGTCTAGGATAGATTTTTTCCCTTCAACTGTGAGGAATTGGTTTCTTTTTTGGTTGGACATTTTGATATTGATAATTAACTCAGTTTTTTTACGATTGTATTTGATGAAATTAAGAAATAAGAAGGAACAGTAGATGTTTGTTACTTCTTGGAGGACTTGTATATTAGAGCTTGCTAAGGTGACATCATCCATGTAAGTAAGGATTTTGGAGGTTGACAAATATTTAGTTGATATTTTAGTTACTACAGGGTCATAAAAAATAGTCCATAGTAATGGTGCTAGGGGTTTCCCTTGGTCGATCCCTTTGCTTACTTTTAGGGTTTAGTAAGTTTATAATAGATTATTATTTTTAGTTCTCTTTCATTTAAGTAATCGGTGATGAGTGAGGTGAATTTGTTTGATAGTTTGATGTGATTCATTGCTTTCTTGAGGCTGGTGATATTGACAGAATTAAAAGCTTTGGAGATGTCGAATGATACTACCTATATTTTCTTATTGAGATTATTAGTGATATTGATGTATGAGCTAATAATTGCGATTGGCTCAGTGGTATTTTGATTTTTGAGGCTAGTGAAGTTGGATTCTGAGAGAGCTTTATGCCTTAGAACACAATTAGCAAGTCTGTCATTAGTGATTTTTGTGAAAATTTTCCTGCTTGTTTCAATAAGCAAGATCAGATGTATATCAGAAAGATTATGTGACTAGATAAGTTTTTTGGGCAATACTGTAACAGCTGATTGTTTCCAGAATTTAGGAATTTGACCTGATATTAGAATGTCGTTGAATAGAGCTAAGATGATTGTTTTTGCATATGGATCTATTTGGATCCAAGCTTCATAAGAAATAAGGGTGAGCCTGGGGGCTTTACGGTTGGGAAGGTCAGTAAGAACTTCTTCCAGATCCTGCATAAATAATGTTGAGACAAGATTATCATAGACATTGTCAGGGATATGTTTCAATAGTTATAATATGCTAACCATTCATTATTAATAACAAATAGTTTGGAGTCTAGAATTTTTTTGAAGTGATCAAATATGATAGTTGCAAGCCTGTCAAGGTCATCGTAAAGTTGGTTGTCTTCTCCTAGGAGGATTGAAAGATCGAGAGAGGGTCTCAGATCTCCTAATACTTTTTTGAGTGTTTTTAGGCCTAGTCCAAAATCTATAATAATTCGATTCTATGCCCTTTTGTATTTCTTGGATAATTTAATTTAAATAATTTTTCCTTGATTAAAGTTTTCAACAGTTTTTACAGGTCTTTAGTGCAAAAATAATTACTGGTAATTTTTCGTAAAGCTGATGAGGCGATAACTGGAAGTCTTAAGAAGACATCTTCCCTGTTATTGTTTTTTGATGTATTAATTGCTCTCTTGGTGACTCTTATGGCATTGGAGTAATGCTTGAGAGGATCTATGTTACAGGTGGGTGTCATGCACTTTTGCTTTGGAATGTTATTGTCAAGAGAGTTTTTGATAGCATTATTCATAAAGTCCTAGGTTGAGTGTTGCTTGTTAAGCATGCAAGTTCAATATCCTCTTTGAATTCTTTTATGTTTTCTGAAGTAGCATTCTTGAATTAATAGATATTGATGTTAAAGCAGATTCTGTTAGGTTTATATTTAAACCAATCCAATATAATGGTCACTTGTTTATGATCGAAGATTATGGTCATTTGCTCCTGAACATTATATGAAAGTATTTTGCTTGCCAGATTACTAATGATTCATACTTGATCAATTCTAGAAGCACTGTTGCTTGTGATATGTGTGTACTTATGCTCATTGTTTGTTATTTTACCAATGTCAATGAATTTTTGTAGATATTGATATATATGTCTCTTGTGAAACATTGTGTAAGTATGTATGTGGGGGCAGAGGAAGGGTACGTATTAAAGTCTCCT